TGTAAGGTTGGCAGAAGCATAACTCTGTTATGCGGCACTACGGATTCGAACCACCAAATTGCCGACCTTTCTGATCGACAAGCTCAGCGTCTTAGCCATTGCGCCACCTGTACCCCATACCTAATCAATTATTAGGGGTACTTTAAGTCAGGGGTCTCCAACCTTGGCAACTTGAAGACTTGTGAACTTTGGGTGTTGAAGTCCACAAGTCTTCAAGTTGCCAACGTTGGAGACCCCTGCTTTAAGTACCGGTAGTCTCAAATCACGACCACAGTTCTGTTCACTCTCTGACAGATTCTTTCCAATGGGAGAACAATTTAGAAGTTGCTTTGCTCCGAGTTTAGACTGCAAGATCCTTGCAAAATAGGAGCCTTTAAAAAAAAAATCTTGCAACTGATTCTAAAGCTTAGAAAAACTCTGGAAGAGCCGATAAAATAAAGTCTGCAGGAAAACTGGTGGAATTAAGTGGTGTGTCCCCCACTTCTTTTTGTTACAATTTCTGCTCAGTTTTGGCAAGTTTGCTCCACTTCCTCCCCACCCCGACTCCCAATCTTTTCACCTGGACAATTCAGATTAAAGGGGACAGCTGGGAAAACCGGAACCCACCCATTTTAGAGGAAGGGGATAAAAAATCCTCATTCTGCCCCATTCCAAGGATCTGGAATTGCCCCATTGCCAAAGAGAGGATAGTAGAATGAACTACTTTGCGTTGAAATACCGTGTTTCCCCAAAAATATGGCATCTCCTGAAAATAAGGCCATGCCAGTGTTTTTTGGGGGGAAATATAAGCCCTCCCCTGAAAATAGGCCCCTTGGACAATCCCCCCTCCCTCTGGCCAGACAGAATGCCTGTCACCAACCCAGTGGTATCTCCATGGGAACCGGGGGAGGGGGGGGGCAGGCGCTTGCATGGCTTGGCGCCTTCGGGATCCCACTAGGCCGGTGAGTGGCATTCTGCCTGGCTGGATAGGGGGGGTTGCCTTGTTGCTGCTCATGATTGTGGTCACCTCATGGCTGCTGTGTTGCACTGCTGCGATGGTGCAACACAGCCATTCGCCCCTTGAAATAGATCTATACTAGTCTCCCTTTATTTATTTATACACACACACACACACACATATATGAGTTCCAGGTAATCCTTGTGGTGACTTTTCCATGATCTGGCTTTCCTCGAAGGGGTGACATCAGAGTAGGACGTGCCACTAAGGTGCTACTGCCCTAAGGTAAACCCCCTGGTGCTCTTTGTACAGATGTTGTTCTTTTCGAACAAGAGGACAGCCACATGTGATAAGCACCGGGCAAAGTCTGTGCAACTGAGTCTAGCTTTGTTGACAATAGAGAACAGTGATAAAGACCTTGACTGCTGTTTAAAAACTCAGAGGCCAAAGTTAAACGATAACTTTCCCAACCACAGGGAGAAAAAAGCTCAACCAATCAACCAATCAACCCATGAAACAGAAGTTGCCTTCAGAGGTTGAAGCTTCATCCTTGGGGGCTTTCAAGAAGAGACTGGACTGCCATCTGTCAGGAATGGTGTAGGGTCTCCTGCTTGGGCAGGGGGTTGGACTAGATGACCTACAAGGTCCCTTATAACTCTGTTAATCTGAATCTATCTAAGATGATCAAAGACTAAAACATGAAGAACGTTTGCAGAAACTGGACCTGGCTAGTCTAGTGAAGAGAAGGACCAGGGGAGACATGAGAGAAGTCTTCCAATACTTGAGTGGCTGCCATTGAGATTCCCAAAGCGCCCGAAGGCCAGACAAGGAATAATGGAATGAGACTGAACAAGAAAGTTTCAACCTGGAAATAAGGAGGAATTTTCTGACAGTGAGAACAATCAACCCATGGAACAGAAGTTGCCTTCAGATGTTGTGGGAGCTTCATCACTGGAAGCTTTCAAGGAGACACTGGAGTGCCATCTGTCAGAAATGATCCCTCTGTGTGGTGTGGGCACACACATCGTTGCCAGCTGCTCTTCTGCTGGAGTGCCAGAAAATGGCCTGAAAAATGGCCAAACCAGGCTGTTTTGGGGCCATTTTCAGGCCGGTTTTTGGTCTTTTGGGGGCCATTTTTGGGGGCAAAAACAGCCTGAAAATGCCCAAACACAGGCATGCATGTGCCGGCCAGCTGCTCTTCAGATTTCAAGCACTCTGGTGTGTGCACATGCACATACATTCCAGTTTGGGCACTCAGAGCCATAAAGGTTCACCATCCTGGGTATAGGGTCTCATTTTTGGCCAGGGAGTTGGATTACGTGACATACAAGGTCCCTTCCAACTCTGTTTCTATTTAAAACCAGGTTGCAGAGGAAGGAAAAAGCTGGATTTATTCACAAGGTTTCTTGGAAATATGTTTTCATGTTTGCAAATTATTCAGTCCCTGCAGGTAGCATATACATGAATGGCTGCAAGGGTTAAGAATAACAGTGCCTAACTGAGATAAGAACAGGGGAGCAAAGGGGGAGAAGGGAGGGGTCTGAAATTCTTTAATTAAACTTTCTTTTGTTACCGGTTGTGTATTGCCAACTGGGACACTTCAGGTTTTGCAAATTTAAGAGGAAGGTTACACCACCTGGAGAGAAAGACTGGCTGACTAAAATATGAAAGCACAGAAGTGTCATGAATGGGTTTGTCCTCCTGCCTTGATCTATTCAATCTGTCGTATGCCACAGACTAAATCTTGTGCAGGTTAAATCCCTCTGTAATCTACCAAATCCAGCAGAGAGAAGAGAGCAAAGCAAAATAAAAATAATAAATCCTGTTAGTTTAGATGCCCTCAAAATGCACGAGTGAGATTTCCTTCTTGTGTTTTGAACTCTGAATCTGCTTTTTGGTTACATCGACAAAAAACAAACAAACTAAGCACTGTAACAAATGCAGATATCGTGTTTCCAACATGGATGACGGAAGCAGGGAGAAATTGGATTTCAAGAGGCCTGGATGCAATTTGGAAATCTGTTTGAGAAACAAAGTTCGTCTTTCCCATTCTGCCAGGAAAAACTAACAACAGAACTTGGGCAAAGCTGCTATTCCTTGCATGCAATTCCGTGGGTTCAACCATAATTCTGATGGAGAGGCTAGTCCTGAATGTACGAGCATTTGTTTGGAGTCTGCTTAAGTTCAGCGGGATTGAAAAAAGAAACTTACGACCGGTCCTCGCATTTATGACTGTGGCGGCATGCCGGAGTTGCATGATCAAAATTCAGGGGCTTGGCAGGGATTTGCAATGCATTACAGCATCCCGGGATTACCAATTGCAATCTTCCCAGCCAGCAAAATCCATGAGGGAAACCAGAGTCACTTAACAACCATGTGCTTCACTTAACAACTTCAGCAATTTATCGAACAACCATGGCAAAATGGATGTAAATTCTGGTGTGACCCCCTTGCAAATATTTTTTTTTCTTTCTCCACCTGTACTTCTTATGCATAAAATAAATTAAAATAATTTGGTACGGCTAGTCTAGAGAAAAGGAAGACTAGGGGGGATGTGTTAGCAGTATTCCAGTATTTGAAGAGCTGCCCCAAAGAAAAGGTGGTCACCTTATCTTCTAAAGCACCCGAAGGCAAGACAATAAACAATGGATGGAAACTAACCAAGGAGAGAAGCAACCAAGAACTAAACAGAAACTTCTTAACAGGGAGGACAATTAAGCAGTGGAACAACTTGCCTCCGGAATGTTGTAAGTGATCCAACACGGAGGTTTTTAAAAAGCGATCATTTGTCGGAAAGGGTATAGGGATTCCTGCCCGAGTAGGGGGTTGGACTAGAAGACCTCCAAGGTCCCCTCCAACTCTGTTATTCTGTTAAATTCTGGGGAGGGAGGTAGAGCAGGAAGTTGAGAAAATGTTCTAGTCTATCTACTTTAATGAAAAGAAGGACTAGGGGTGACATGACTAGGCGTTACAATATTTGAGGGGTTGCCACAAAGAAGAGGGAGTCAAAATTATTCTCCAAAGCACCAGAGGGCAGGACAAGAAACTATGGGTGGAAACTAATCAAGGAGAGAAGCAACCTGGAATTAAGAAGCTTCCTAACAATGAGGACAATTAACCAGTGGAACAGCTAGCCTCCAGAAGTTGTGGGTGCTCCAATACTGCAGATTTTTAAGAAGATGTTGGGCAACCAGAAGAATACACAACAAAGGCCCAGACAGGAGATGAAAAAGGCAATACATTGCATGAAATAATATTTTCACCATCTTAGAACCACAAGTTCTAATGGAGAAAAGATTTGGGAAGCATCTTGTGTGTGTTTGCCTCTCTGTAGCCTCCAGACTCTGAACTGACCTGTTTTTAAAAAATAAACTCCTGAATTTGAGAGAGGAGGAGACAGAAAGGCAGAAAAAAGCTTTACCAGCAGCCAAAGCAGAATTTACCCATCTTTGCAAAGACAGAAAAACAAACATTTAGCCAAGGATAAACCAAAATCAGATGGCAAAGGAGTCCTCCTCGCCTAGCTGGTAGGAGTGGTGGGAAGAGAACCTAGAGGAAAGGACTGGGAGGAAGAAAGGAAGGAAGAAAGGAAGGAAGGAAGAAAGAGGGAGGGATAGAAAGGGAAAGAGAGAGAGAGAGAGAAAGAAAGAAAAAGAATGAAAAAAGAGAAGCAGAGAGAGAAAGAGAGAAAGAGAGTCAGAGAGAAAGAAAGAGAGTCAGAGAGAAAGAAATAGAGTGAGGGACAGAGAAAGAGAGAGAGAGAGAGAGAGAGAAAAGAGAGAAAGAAAAAGAGAGAAAGAAAGAGAGAAGGGGGGGGGGGAACCGGGCCGGAAGGGGAAAAAAAGTTTGCAAGTCTGAAATCCCAATACGTGTTTTTTTTTAATTAAAGCTTTTGGTTGTCTGTCTGTTCTAGCCCTGCCCACGGCCGGCAACCCCGCTCCCCCTTGGGCGCCTCCTGCAAAGGTCCGCGAGGAGCGAGCCCAGCTGAAGGCGGGGCAGAGCCTCCCCTCCTCGGGGCAGTGTATCTGAGGGGGGGGGAGCCCCTCCGCCTGAGCACCCTTACCTTGGCCACCTGCTGCCGCAAGAGGCCCGGCATGGTCTGCAGCAGGACCAGCCCGAAGCCCAGGCACAGCAAGCCCAGCACGGCCAACCCGGCCGCCGTCCCGCAGCGTTGCCCGCAGCCTCTCTTGGTGCTCTCGCCCCTCGCCATGGCCGGCCTGCCAGCCCCGCCGCCGCCGCTGCGCTGCGCTCCGTGCCATGCCCGCCGCGGGGGCTCTTGATGGGCGCCGCTGGCCGCCCCGCCACTCCCCGCCCGGCCCGGCAGCCAACGGCGGCCAGAGGGAGGCGCCCGGCTGGGCTGAGCGGGCGGACTCGCTGCTGCTGCTGTCGCCGTCGCCACCAAGGACGGGCTGGGCGGAGGGAGGCAGGGGCGGTGAGCTCTGGAAGCGGGTGGTCGCGAGGGAGGCTCCCGCCCTGCTGCCACCTCTCGCCTGGCCCCTCGACTCGCTCTGCCCGGTGGTCTTGCGCGGGGAGGGAGAGAGGAGTTGGGAAGGGGAGGGGAGGGAGGAAAGAGGGAGAATGGGGAGGAAGGGAAGAAGGAAGGAGATGGGAATGGATAGAAGGGAAAGGAGAACGGGGAGGGAAGAAAAATGGAAGGTGGGAATGAGAGGAAGGAGAGAAAGAAGGAAGGAGTTGGGGATGAGAGGAAGGAAAGGAGGAAGAATGGGGAGGGAGGGAGGGAGGAAAGAAGGAATGAGGATTTGAGGAAGGCAGGGATGGAAGAGGAGGAGGAAAGGATGGTGAATGGGAAGGGAGGAAAGAAGGAATGAGAAGGAATTAGGGATGAGAGGAAGACAGGAAGGCAGGGATGGAAGGGAAGGTGGTAAATGGGGAGGGAGAGAAGAATGAGAAAGAATGAAGGAAGGAGTTGGGAATGGATGGAACAGGAGGAATGGGAATGAAGGCAAATGAGGGGAGGAAAGAAGGAATGAGAAGAGTTGGGGATGAAAGGAAGGAAAGGAGGGAGTTGGGAATGGATGGAAAGGATTGAAGGAGGGCAGAACGTGTTTTGAGGCTCTCCTATCCTGGCTCACCCATGGGAAGCCCCATCCCTTTCCAACTGCATCTGGCACTTCCAGGGACTGCACAGGTTTGCTCCAGGTGCATCTCCCACCTTGGGAGAAAAGACTCCCCATCGGAGATTCTGGTTCTGTCCAGCAGGGATTTGGGCTCCTTTCCAAGGAATCAGGCTGCACAATTCCTTCTATCACCTCATGAACTAATTAGGTAATGTGGCCAGGGCCTTGGCAAATGAATAACTAGTTGCAACAGAATACAGATCAACCTTGAACTTGGTTTTCTTGCAAATGTTTTGTGACCCAACTGGGAAACATCAGCGCCGAGAGAAGGTAATCGGATGAACAGGGACTGTGCATCCTCTGTGCAGAGGTGGGTAGTTTTTTTTGCAGATGTTTTATTACCCAAATAGATCACATCAGGGCTGCAAGGGTGTGGAGGTGGCCTGTGGCAATCTGAGTACTCTGAGCTTGGTGGTTCACAGGTGTTTTATTGGCAGAGGTGGGTTTCAGTTTACCAATGGGTCACTGCACCTGCTCATTTTGAGAGCACCCACTTGCATGTGAGAGTGCATGCATTCTGTGCACGCTTTCCTCACGCAGCTTTCAAAACTGACTAAATAGGACGGCGTAGCCAGGTTGGTTAGCTAGGCCCATCTGCAGGTTTGCCACTACTGGTTCATCCAAAGGTCCAAACCAGCTAAATACCAGCTGTTTATTAGACTAGGTAATCACAGGTTATTCAGGCTAGTGATAGGAAGGAATCCACATTTAAACAGATCCATTATAGGAAATATAATTCTTTATTGGCCAAGTGTGATTGGTCTTCTCTGCATAAGGCTGGAAATATAAAGGAAACCTAAGATTCTTTACTCTTAACTGCATTGTCACTCAAGCCCCCAAATTAACAGTAGTGCCAGATAGTCTTAACACTTCCTATCCTTTTTGAAACATGCTAGAAAATGTATTATCTTAAGTCTCGGGCCAAAGCAAAGGCCTTCAGGCCTTGTTATTTTACATTTAATAGCAAGTGAGTCATAGTTTACTTGCTCAGCATGTGACTAACATCATTTGCTAAGCTTTGACAAAGCATCTACAATCTAGCCACCTTCCCTCTGCCCCATTTTGTAAATGAGCATTTTTATTCCGCCCTCATTGTTCTAAGTTGTTTATACTTTGTACATAACAATTCAAATAATTCACCAAGACAATTGGGAATCCCAACAGCTTTATTGAAACAAAGTGCAGTGAAGTTTACTTCAACAGTTGTAAGCAAGCAGAAAGTTTAAAAACCACCCCTCAGACGCAGGACAAGATGGAGGGTGGACTCCTTCTGGATGTTGTAGTCAGAGAGAGTGCGGCCGTCTTCCAGCTGCTTGCCAGCAAAGATCAATCTCTGTTGGTCAGGAGGAATGCCTTCTTTATCCTGGATTTTGGCCTTGACATTTTCAATGGTGTCACTGGGCTCCACCTCTAGGGTGATGGTTTTCCCGGTCAAGGTCTTCACAAAGATCTG